ATCTATCTATCTATCTATCTATCTATCTATCTATCTATCTATCTATCTATCTATCTATCCTGTCTTTCAGTGCACATTGACAAAGTTGGAATGCGTGTGTTTTATGAGGGCTGGGTTTTGTAGAGAGCAGTACTCCTCTTGTTGGCCTACACTAGAGTCCAACATGCCATTTTATTTGTCTTTACCACATTACAATCCGTTCTAAGCACAGTTACCTTTCTTAGACTCTCTAATGTGTATTTAATGTGTGTCCTCATTGTAACCCTGATTTTTGTCCTTTCCCATTTTGAGGACTCTTCCTTATCAAAGTTGACTACCAACGAATACATGCAATTGGTATGTATGAGGTAGTTATTTTTTAAATTTGTATTTTTAGAGCCATTTGCACAGCTTGTGCAACAGTCGCTACCTTTGCCYTCTGCTGGCTTGGCTTACTTTTTTTGTCTTCTTCTTTTTTTGCAGCAGCAGCAGCTTCCAGTTCATAAAGCAAAGCTTAAATCACGTTCTTTGTTTTTTTTTATGTTGTTTAAAAGCTGGATGTCCTCGTATTCAAGTCATAAAAGTTCTAAAACTAGTTTTAAAGATCATTTGCACACTTTTGTATCGCCAAGCTATTTATTGGGCAAAAAAAATGGATTTAGGCTGAAACAACACATCACCAGAAGTAGTTTTCTACATTTTAATGAGCTGTGCAGGTCAACAACATGGAGGACTTAGATTTGCATGTGGAAGTCACCTAACTGACAGTTTCCTGTCCGCCCCCTCCTTTTCCCCCTTCCTTTAAACCAGTCCTATTCCCCTCCCTGCTACCCACAAGTGTGTGTTTATTCTAATACCTCTGTTTTATTTATATTTTTGTCCAATACCTAAATCAGCTGTGCACCAACAATAGCCAAATCGCTTGTTCCATCTTCTCGTCTTTGTCTCTTTGCAGCAAAGAACTCATCTTATTGTGAGAGGATGTGGTTACAATTCTGCTTATCTTGGTTTGCTCTGAGGCCAGCGCCCGTTTTGTGTGCTTCTGCTTCGACATGCTTCATTTGACGTCTGCTTTCTGTCCCYAGATTCCAATAATATCTGCAGATCATCTGAGTAGTCACAAGTACTTGACTCAAATGTAGTTCCTCTCAAGAACAGTGAGTTTCTATTTCAGTATTTTTATCCTCTTTATTTATTACAAGTTTGTTTTTTTTTTGTTGTTGTTTTGTATATTATGTGTGACTCGTTAGTTTTGCAAGGTTGTTGTTAGAGCTGTCACCTCTTGAAGGTTGTAGGTTCACCAGTTAATTGATGGACATTTTATTTATAACACCAATTCCATTGAAGTTGAGATGTTGTGTAAAACATAAAAAAATACTATAATTTGCATTTTTTAACCTATATTCAGTTGAATACATTACAATATTGAAATATTTAATGTTAAAACGGATACACCTGAAGATGTAGAGACAAACCGTGTTCTCTGACAATGGTTTTCTGAGGTGTTGCTCGTGTGGTAATATCTGTTACAAAATTATGTCAGTTTTTAATGCAGTGCTGTGTGAGGGATCGAAGGTCCRGTGTATTCAGTGTTGGTTTGCGGCCTTGATTTGTTCAGATTCTCTGAATTTGTTGATGCTATTATGGATTGTAGATGATGAAATCCCTAAATTCCTTGCAGTTCATTGAGAAACATTGTTCTTAAACTGTTGGCTTATTTGCTCACAAAGCTGTTCAACCTCGCCCCATCCTTGCTTGTGAATGACTGAGCATTTCGGGGATGCTCCCTTCAAACGCAATCATGACACTAACTTATTTCCATTGAAACTTCAACTGTGGAGYGATCCAAACAGGTGTTTTTAAAGCATTCCTCAACTTTCCCAGCCTTTTGTTGCCCTTGTTGCAGCTTTTATGGAACATGTTGCAGTCATCAAATTCAAAATAAGTGAATATTTGCAAAAATAAAGTTAATCTGTTTGAACATTAAATATCTTGTCTTTGTAGTGTATTTAATTGAATATAGGTTGAAAAGCAAATCATTGTATTCTGTTTTTAGTTACGTTTTACACAACATCACAACTTCATTGGAATCGGGGTTGTCATTCATGTCTTCACAGAATGTCATTAGCTCTTCTAACTTACCTCTGTCGTCTCTTCCAGATCAAATGAATGTGTGCTGGCACCGTCCAAGCCAAAAGAGTTTAAGCCTTTATGTACGTAACCTTCGGAATGTCAAGAAACGGGACAAAGGAGGTTGTGCCATCTCTCAGCCTGCCCACACCAGTGGTCTCATCCCACGTGTAAACATCAAGGGTACAACACGTGATCTGTGCCATCTTCCCACATATCAATACCAAGAAGAATTTGCCATCAAATTCAAACGTCCAGCCGAGAAGAAGAAAAGGATAACATGGCGCCGAGGGGAGGGGGACGTTCACACGATACCTCTGTGTCTAACTGARTTATCAGTCTACTCACCGTCATCACTGCATGCACAGAAGGTCAAGAGCGTTGTTACATGAGACAAACATCAAGTGCTGGTACGTTAGTAGACCAAGAGCTTTTTTATTTTATTTTATTCAATTTTCATTTTTATTTTTTGTTTCCTGCTTAATTTTATTATTCTTTTTTAATTGATAGCCATATTTCATAGTTTACAAGAGAAACACAAATATGCACCTTGAATTTGATTGAAATCGGAAAGGCACAATAATATTAACAGATTTCTTTTTTGTTTGTCTTCTTTGCCAAATACAATAGGCATGTACAGTATTGTGTTTTACAGCAACTAGTGAAACTAGATGTTGAAATGAGGGTCTTGGACATATGAATGTTCTGGGTAAACCAACATACCTGTGTACCTTGAAAGCACAGCCAGGCTAGCTTCTTTCACCTTGTCTTGTGCCATCAAGGCCATACAGCTAAATATAAAAAACCAGAGTGTTATCTCAGCAGTGTTATTTGTTTACCGAAGGTAGAAAAGTTTTGTATGGCTCTTTTTATTTTTATCGATTTGTTTTCAGATTATTCATTGTGAGTGTTTTTTTTTTATCTTATTTTATTTCTAAATTAATTTTAAAAGTGGACTTTTCACCAAATTACATTGACTGTTAAGTTTTTAATCAGAATTGAGTTTTTCTTTTAAGGTTTCTAGTAACTCTTTTAATAAATGTTTGGTTTTAGTCAGGATTAAAGTGTGAATCGAGTCCATCCACTAAAGCCTGATGGGGTTGTGGGCGTGGCTTCAGTAGGCATTGTGTTACCTTGACCCCGCCCTCCTTTTTTAAAATAAGGAGCAGCTCGAAAAACTGTGTCTCAGTGTTGAGTCGTGTGTTGATGGGATAATTTGAAACAACAGACCCAAAGGTCTATTAGGTCATTCAAACCACATGTGCACTTGAATTTGTCTCGTCACCCCTGTTTTTATTTTTCTCAATCCACCCTGAATCAACCCGCATTTCTTCGAGTCGTCATTTTTCTGTTTTATATTACAAGTAAAACACGGAGGTTTTAATCAGCTTGTATATCCGACTATAAAAAACCAAAGCACAGTTTTTTCTCTTAAGTCTTATTCATTTTAGATTTTAGAAACATCTCTAAAGAGGCTTAAACAATTAAGGAAACAATGTTTATTACCTTTTTTTTTCCAGTGTGTTTTATGATTGTTTCCCTTTTTGTGTTGTTAAAGACGTGTGTATTTTATCTTAACTGATTGTTGTGACTAACGAAGCCTTAGATTACAATTAATGGGTCTGAGCCCAATCAAATGTCTTTTCAATCACCGTGCAGGTAAAACGAGAGAGAGAAAAAAACGAACACCAACAATGTTTTATAGTTCTCACCAACTGCTTTCCATCTTTTATTGTTTTCTCTGTAAAAGAATTAATTACTCTTTAAAATTTCATTGAATTTCTGTGTTATGTACTACTTAAGGATTTGAATCTATTTGAGATACGTAGTTTTAGATTTTCTCTTTTGTTTTTTGTTTGTTTTTTGCCTTACTATAATATTACTTGACAACATTCATATAGTTGTTGTAGATATTAAGATAGTATGACATTCATAACTTTTTCAAACCATATAAAGGATAATGTGTTAAATATTCACTTCGTTCATATAGCTGGATGTCTCAGTTAATTATATCAACGAGAAACGTTTTGATACAAGGAACGAGATCAACTAAACAGCTGCCTCAGCAGCTTCTCTAGGCGTGCGTGTGAGAAACTTAACAACTCTCCTTGTAAAATGTTGTCATGTTTTTTGAAAATACTATATTGCATTGAAATATAGGCTGTCCATGTTTTAAGAGTACAAATTATTTTCTACTGTATCCATTTCAAAGAGATATGTACTTTTTCGATTTGTTTTTTGTTTCAAATATTAAGTTTGCCCTGAATGTCAGGCCAAAACGAGCAGTGAGAGCGATGTCGAGGTTCGGTGAGGTTCGGAGCGAGAAAGCAAAAGGCTTTTCCCACCGAGGATGAGTCCGAAATGCTGCAGATCACGAGTTCTAACCTAAGGGACGAAGGTTTACTTTTTGCACTTCTGTATATAGTAAAAATGAACAGAGAGAAAAAAATAAAAATAAAAAGTGTATCATATTGAGATATTATTTTGAATAAAAAAAGATCTATAATTATAAGGAATTTTGTTAGATTAATTTAAATTCTTAAATTAGACCAGCTAAATTTTTTTTGCTTGCAAAGGAGGGCACTAGTTTTTTTGGCCAATGCATTCAGAGAAAGCTACGCGCTTTTTTGTCTTATTTTCTAGTCGGCTCATAATGCCAGGGAATGTTGCCGGGGATCAGATACCCCCATGTCATGCTAACTCTGCCTCACATAGGATAACCAACACAGTAAGATCCACGTATCATTTACTGGAATTGATCTATATGTAGWACTGCTCATCCATGAATCTTATAAAGAAATAGAATTTATTATAGTTTGATTTGACTGCATGATAAACAAAAGATGCTGTGTAAATATAAAAGGGGRAAAAACCTTCAGATTACAAAAACCACAATACTTTTGTTTGTTTCAGGTTATACATGMCATAGATAACATCCAGTGTGTAATAATACCTTAAAATAAACAAGTTGTCTTACTCGTTTCTGTGCAAACATGTTATTTAAAGAGTAATAACATCTTAGCACCCAGTTCTGTTCAGATGACTTCACAGTCCCCCACTAACTCACAAGCAGTTGCTTCTGCTTTCGTATATCTGTGCACTCAGCAGGTGGAGGCTCTTCACACCAAAATGCGGCGAATCAGTCTTTAAACATGAATGTAAAATTTTTTTTTAAAAGTCAGTGTCAGTATGTTTCTCACTCGAGGCTGCTTTGTAAAGTCGCTACAGAACCAAAGCACCATTTTTTATTTTTTTGTTTTCCTCCAAACCAAACTTTTTAAATCTTCTGGCTGCAACCAAGGTCTGTTTCTCTCTTCCCCCGCTGGGCGCACATGTTCGCTTTGACTGCTTTTTACTTGGAAATGCACCCACCAGTTATGTATCTGCTAACAGTTGCCACAAGATAATGTACTCTTCTGTCTCCAGATTTGTTTAAGCACATTTTACTGTTGCCATTATTGACTCTTGCTGTATGGATGAAAAAAACAACAACTTCTGAATAAAGCAATTTGATTTGCTCATGCAACAATGCCTGTGTGTGTTTTTGGCTTTTGTCAAGATTTAGAGTGTTTAGTTTACGTTTTTAAACCTTCCTGCTGCTCTTGGGTAAAAATGACTCATGAGGTTTGAAAAATAGGGCCTCCTGGGTCAGTTAGATCCAAGGGCAGCAGAGAGGTTGGGATCGAAATTTTATTAAAAACRGATTTTTGTCACTTTCTTGATTGTTATAAGAATATAATAATAGAACTCCAATAAATTACTTTAACCAAATTATGACTAGTTTTTCCACTTTGTTTGGAAACAGTGAGATTAAGTTAAAAAAGAAACTACCAAGTTTTTTATTTGTCTTTAAAAGGAAAATAGCTACCCATTCAAAAAAAAGGCCTGAAGTTTTGTTTTTGACATATGTAAAACACTTTTTGTTGTAGTTTGCAGTTCTTTGCATGAGGGATTTCCCCCAAACGTTCTGCAGAAACCCCAGAGATTTCTGCTCCTTTTTTTGCCTTCGCTGCACACTTTAGGTCTGGCCACACATTTTCAATTATTCCTAGTTCATGGGAATGTGAGGGCCATTGTTAAACCCTCAGCATGTACTTGTACGAGTAAAACCTGAGGGCTTTTCTGATGTAAAATATATATATTTTTTATTTAAAACCCTTTTCAGTGCATTGTGTTTGCCTTCAGAATTAACTGCATTTGTTTGGAAATTGAACTTTCTTACTTTAACAAGTTAAATGTTAACTGACCCATTGGTCACAATACAAGCAAAAACCTCAATACCTAAATACTGAAAAGATATTTTGACAAAAGGTTTTACTGTTTTACAAGTGGAAATTGTAACTGACGAACACCATAGACGGAGAGCATTAAGTCTTCGGTGACGGGGGACCAAAATAGCCTCCTTGAGGCCAAATCTTCACTCAATATTTGTCAAATTAAATTAGACATTTTTGTTTTGGCTAAGGTTGAAGCTGTGGTGGCAGTATTGAAATGACTTAATTCCAAACAATCAGTTGGGTATCAAGTCTTACTGACTGAAAGTTTTATTAGAAATTGGTTCATGAGACATTTTGATAAGACTTTCCGTAATAAGAAATCTTACCAGAAGTTGAAGCATTAACTTCCATTATGCAGTATTTTTCTAATAGTTTTCATGTGACAGCAGCATAATAAATTTGGGGGATTTGGTATGCCACCCCAAGGCCCTGTTTTCAGAACTTCTGACAGAACATTGGGCCAGCAGAGATGCATTCCTCAGATTCTACAAACCTGTGAGGTGAAGAAGGATGGCTGAACCTATCAGCKACAGGCATGGAAATTACAGCAAACTCAACGTTTTGTTGCGGTCTCGTCTAAGCAGCAGTTGCAATGACGACATTATCATGTGAACTTCATGTTTTCACAATCAATATTGGCAAATCTGTAATGTTTACAGTAGATCCTTACGGTATATCCACCCCTTCGGATGTTTACCTGCATCTTGACCCTGCAGTTTCCCAAAAAACTTCATTGTGCTGTTATACATACAAGAGGACATGAAGATGGAAAAAATATGTGTATGGGGAGAAGAAGGGCAGGGGACAAAGGCTGGCAAACTTAGCATTTTCTTACAGGCCATCTTGAAGGCTTAAATACACTCACTGGCCACTTTATTAGGTACACCACGCTAGTAACGGGTTGGGCCCCCTTTTGCCTTCAGAACTGCCTCAATTCTTCGTGGCATAGATTCAACAAGGTGCTGGAAGCATTCCTCAGAGATTTTGRTCCAWATTGACATGATGGCATCACACAGTTGCCGCAGATTTGTCGGCTGCACATCCATGATGCGAATCTCCCGTTCCACCACATCCCAAAGATGCTCTATTGGATTGAGATCTGGTGACTGTGGAGGCCAATTGAGTACAGTGAACTCATTGTCATGTTCAAGAAACCAGTCTGAGATGATTCCAGCTTTATGACATGGCGCATTATCCTGCTGAAAGTAGCCATCAGATGTTGGGTACATTGTGGTCATAAAGGGATGGACATGGTCAGCAACAATACTCAGGTAGGCTGTGGCGTTGCAACGATGCTCAATTGGTACCAAGGGGCCCAAAGAGTGCCAAGAAAAGATTCCCCATACCATGACACCACCACCACCAGCCTGAACCGTTGATACAAGGCAGGATGGATCCATGCTTTCATGTTGTTGACGCCAAATTCTGACCCTACCATCCGAATGTCGCAGCAGAAATCGAGACTCATCAGTCCAGGCAACGTTTTTCCAATCTTCTCTTGTCCAATTTCGATGAGCTTGTGCAAATTGTAGCCTCAGTTTCCTGTTCTTAGCTGAAAGGAGTGGCACCCGGTGTGGTCTTCTGCTGCTGAAGCCCATCTGCCTCAAAGTTCGACGTACTGTGCGTTCAGAGATGCTCTTCTGCCTACCTCGGTTGTAACGGGTGGTTATTTGAGTCACTGTTGCCTTTCTATCAGCTCGAACCAGTCTGCCCATTCTCCTCTGACCTCTGGCATCAACAAGGCATTTCCGCCCACAGGACTGCCGCTCACTGGATGTTTTTTCTTTTTCGGACCATTCTCTGTAAACCCTAGAGATGGTTGTGCGTGAAAATCCCAGTAGATCAGCAGTTTCTGAAATACTCAGACCAGCCCTTCTGGCACCAACAACCATGCCACGTTCAAAGGCACTCAAATCACCTTTCTTCCCCATACTGATGCTCGGTTTGAACTGCAGGAGATTGTCTTGACCATGTCTACATGCCTAAATACACTGAGTTGCCGCCATGTGATTGGCTAATTAGAAATTAAGTGTTAATGAGCAGTTGGACATGTGTACCTAATAAAGTGGCCGGTGAGTGTACATTTGCAGCTAATGCCTGGTTCATGTGGCAAGATTTTAAAATTGACGACTAATTTTCAAAGACTGAGGGAGTCCACACATGATGATAAAAGCTCATAGATGTAACACACACAGCAAAGACAACAACCACGAATAGATGAGTATTCAAATGTCAGATGGGAAATCTTGCGAGACCTCGAAATAAAACGTGAGTTCAGAGTAAAACATAGCTGACAAGGAAGAAGTGATGACAATAGTTTGCAAACTATTTTTAACAGAGCAAAAAAAAGAAAACCAAAATGGGTCTCTGACATCCACCAAACTTTCTGGTGGAAATGGAATTTGTTTTATCTTCTGTATTCTGGGTTTCCCTCTGTGTTTCCATCACCTCGCTTTCTGGCAACAGGCTGCGAGCTCGTTTGTCCTCGGGAAACACCACACACGCAGGGATATTGGGCCAATTATCCAACATGTTGAATCTCCTCGGTTTGAGGTCAGAGCTGTCCCAATGTCTGTCTGAGCCGACTAGATCACTCTTAACAGACAAAAATATCTTATAAGATTATTTTTGAGCCACTGTGATGATCAGGGCATCCTTAAGATTGTCAGAAGGGCAAAATTGGGTCAAAACAATTGACACAATAATCTTACCATGTGAATCTGGCATTAGTTTTTGAAAAAGATTTCCTGTATATGTTTGCGAAATGGGGGGAATCTGTGATGTTCAGGAACAATCCGTAGAACTTGACATACTTTCAAGTGTAATTGGGTTGGAGATGATCACTGCCCCCCCATCCACCCCAAATGGTCACCCAGTTGAAATCTTTGGAGGTGTCCCTGTAAAAACAGGAAAGACTTATGTTTGAACTTTTGYTTTAGTTTTATTATATTTTAAGAGGCAGAGTTGTGCAAATAAACAGGCAAACAGATTTTTTGACTAAATGGCTGACCTCGTTGGGAGAAGTGTTTGTAACTATATCTGAGGCCAGCGAGTGTGTGTGTGTGTGTGTGTGTGTGTGTGTGTGTGTGTGTG